TTCATTTTTCAGTGTATTATAATTTTCCCTGTACAGGTCTTTCAATTCTTTCGTGAGAATAATTGCTAGATATTTCATTTTTTGGTTGCTAGTGTGCAGGGTGTGGCTTTCTTAATTCTCTCTCTGTGACTTTGTTGCTAGTGTATAGGAATACTATTGATTTTTGAGTATTGATTTTATATCCAGTACATTACTGAATTTATTCATTATATCTAGCAGTCTTTCAATGGAGTGTTGGGGATCTTCTAAATAGAGTATCATGGCATCTGCAAATAATGATAATTTAACTTCTTCTTTTCCTATTTTCTGCCTTTTATTTCTCACTTATCTAATTGCTCTGTCTAGTATTTCCAGTTCTATATTAAATAGAAGTGGTGATAAGGGACATCCTTGTCTTGAGCCTGATTTAAAAGTAAAGTCCTTCAATTTTTGGCCTTTTAGTATGATATTGGCTGTTGGTTTGTCATAGACAGCCTTTATTATATTGAGGTAAAGACAATCTATTCCAATTTTCTGCAAGGTTCTTATCATAAATGAATGTTGACCCTTATCAAAAGCTTTTTCTGCATCTATAGAAATGATCATGTGGTTCTTACTTTTGGCTCTATTGATATGGTGTATTACATTTATTGATTTACGTATATTGCACCATCCCTGCATGCCTGGGATGAATCCCACTTAGTCATGGTGTATGATCTTCTTGATGATTTGCTGCAACCTATTTATCAATGTTTTATTGAGGATTTTTGAATCTGTGTTCATTAGGGAGATTGGTCTGTAGCTCTCTTTTTCAGTTGGGTCCTTTTCAGGTTTTGCTACTAGAGTAATATTTGCTTCTAGGAACTATTTAGAAAGGATTGCTTCCCTTTCAATTTCATTGAAGAGTTTGAGGAGGTTTTGCATTAGGTCTTCTCTGTATTTCTTGTAGAATTCTGCAGTGAATCCGTGTGGGCCTGGGCTCTTCTTTGTAGGTGAAGATTTAATTATGTTTTCAATTTCATAAATAGAAATTGGGTTATTCAGCAGTTTTACATCTTCAAGACCTAGCTTAGGTACTTCTTATGCTTCTAGGAATCTGTCCATTTCCTCTGTGTTATCAAACCTTTGAGAGTAGAGGTTTTTGAAATAGGTGTTGATGATCTTCTGTATTTCTATAGGGTCTGTAGTGATTTCTCCTCTTTCATTTCTCTTGCATGAATTTGAGCTTTTTCCTCTCTTTTTAAAATAAGGTTGGCTAGGGGCCTGTCAGTTTTATTTATTCTTTCAAAGAAACAACTCTTTGATTCTTTGGTTTTTTGGATTGATTTTTTAGTCTCTATTGTATTGATTTCTGGTCTTATTTTTATAATTTCTTCTCTAGTTTTGGCTTTGGGGTTGACTTGCTCTTCTTTTTCTAATTTTAGGTATAACATCAGGTTATTTATTTGTATTCGTTCTGCTTTCCTGATGTGTAAACTCAGTACAATAAATTTTCCTCTGAGGACAGCTTTCATTGCATCCCACAGATTCTGGTAAGTTGTATTTGTGTTTTCATTTTCTTGTAGGTAGTGTTTAATTTCTTCTTTAAATTCCTTTGTGACCCACTGATTACTCAAGAGTGTGTTATTCAATTTCCAAGAGTTTGTGGGAATTTTGTAGTACCTTTTATCATTAATTTCTATTTTCATAGCACTATGGTCTGATAGCATGCAAGGGGTAATTTCAACACTTTTGCATTTATTTAGATATGTTTTGTGAATTAATATATAGTCCATTTTAGAGAATGACCCATGCACTGCTGAGAAGAATGTGTATTCTTTTGTTGTTGGGTGGAATACTCTGTATATGTCTATTAAGTCCATTTGTTCACAGGCACGATTCAGTTCTTTTATTTCTTTGTTGATTTTCTGCTGGTTGATCTGTCCATTTATGTCAATAGTATGTTAAGATCTCCTGTTAGAATTGTGTTACTGGTAACTTGGTTTTTCATTTCTGCTAGTACTTGTTTTATGTAACTGGGTGCTCTGGAATTTGGTGCATATATATTTAAGATTGTTATCTCTTCCTCTAGGAGTTTTCCCCTAATCAGTATGTAGTGACCTTCTTTATCCTTTCTGATCATTATTCGCTTGAAGTTCACGTTGTCTGCAAACAGAATAGCCACCCCAATTTTTTGGGGGGTGGTTCCTGTTACATGAAGTATTGTTTTCCATCCTTTAACTTTCAGTCTATGGATATCCTTTTGGATTAGATGGGTTTCTTGTAGACAACATATGGTTGGATTTTGTTTCTTGATCCATTCTGCCAGTCTGCTTCTACATTAATGGTTATAACTGTTATATATTGGTTTATTGTTGACACGTTATCTTTTGGCAGTTATCTTGCATCTTTATCTTTTGGTTCTGTTTAATTGTCTGCTTTGTTTAGTGGTTTTTTCCTAAATGTATCTCGGCTGTCTTTCAGTATTCTTTGCAGGGTTGGCTTGGTGATCATGTAGTTTTTCAGCTGTTATTTGTCATGGAAGTATCTTATTTCTCCAGCGATTTTGAAGGACAGTTTTGCAGAGTACATCACTCTAGGTTGGAAATCATTTTCCTTTAGGATCTGAAATACTTCACTCCATGCTCTTCTTGACTTTATTGTTTGTGCTGAGTAGTCTGCTGTGATTCTGATAGGTTTTCCTTTATAGGTGATCTGTCTTTTCTCTCTGACAGCTTTTAATATTCTATTCTTTTGTTCAATTTCTGGGATGGCCATTATTATGTGTCTGGGTGTAATTTTATTTTGACTATGGCTATTTGGAGTTCTATATGCTTCATTGATCTTGATATCAGTTTCCAATCTCATGTTTCGGAAATTTTCAACTATTACTTCTGTAAATATCCTCTTGACATCCTTTATGTTGTCCTCTTCTTTTTCATTTATCCCTATCAACCTTATGTTGTTCCTCTTTGCATCATCTTGCAGGTGTTGAATTGTTATTTCCTGGTTTCTTGTTATTTTTAAAAGATCTTTCCTTTCCTGTTCACTGGCTGCAATCTTGTCTTCGAGGTCTGAAATTCTTCACATTCATTGAGGTGGTTTTTACAACTTTCGATGGAGTTTTTGTTTTCCTGTATATCTCTTTGCATCTGCTTTAGATACTCTGTTTGTTTCTTATATTGTTCATCTAGGGATTCTATCTTTTTTTTTAGTTCCTCCAATTTTTTAGCTGTGTCTTCTTTAGATATGTTCAGCATCTCCTTCATTTCATTAATCATTTCTTCTTTTACCTGAGAGATTATTTCTAGTTTGAATTCCTTTAAGGCTTCCCAGAGTTGCTTCTTTATTTCAGTTACTATTATTTCAGGTATTTCAGGCATGTGGCATATATTTTCTTCTATGCACATGGCTCCTAGGCTTTCTTGGGATGGGCTGGATGTTTGAGATTGCATTTTGGTCTTTCATTTTGTCATTTTCCTATATTTTCAAGCTTCAAGTGTTGTTCCAAATGAGGGAGAGAGGTCAGCCAGGCTGGGACGGAATTTCCTGTCCCCTCCTGACTCACTGATCTCAACAGGAAGCCGGGCCCTGGTCCCCAGGTGAAGAAGAGAGTTCCCCCGGGCTGGGACTGGGTTCCTTGCCTTCACTGGACCCACTCATCTGGACAGGAAGTCGGGGCCTGGCCCCTAGGTGAAGAAGAGAGTTGCGCAACTCCACTGGATTCACTCGACCTGGCAGGAAGCCAGAGCCTCTTAATCAGCAATTTTGATGGTCCCTCGGCAGGAGAAAACCTCAGTCTTGTCCAAGGCTTCCTTGATTGCCTCATATTGACACAGGATCAAAACAGGCCGGGAACCCAGGTAGACTGTAAACACATCCCCATAGTCCCCCTGCAGCTGTGAAGGCACAGTCCACACCTCACTATCACACCCACTAGAAGAGTTGTCCACTGTCATACCTGGATCATATCTTCCACTATAGTCTGTGCTCCATCAACTGCAGCCCCATCCAGGAAGAACAGATGCTTGAACTCTGTGGTTTCGTTCAAGCCCCACAGCCTTCCCCTTTCTCTAGTGTCCTCTTCTCTAGGTTCTAACAATACCTTATCAGCCTTGAATTTTATTAATTTCACAACTCTCACATCTGATCTCTGGAAACTCTCCTTTTCCCACCTCTGGTACAAAATTCAAACCCTCGAATCTATGCAGATTTCTCCTTCAGTCTACTCTATGTCCATCCATTCTATAAGGATTCCAGAAGCTTATATAAATGGATATACTATGCCAGATGGTAGCTGGACAACAGAATACTCAAATTCATCTGGAGAGTCCCACTCCTAGTTGGACCCTCAAATTTCGTGCAGTCTACTTCCCTTCATTTTCACAAGCAAATGTCACACAGGGTGAGAGATCAAATGTAATTGGAAGTCAGATTTGGAATCAATGAGCCCTTTGGAGATAGGAATTTTTCCTGATATGAAAAGGAAGTGAGATGTGGAGAAGGTAAGGGAGTCTAAAAGGAGAAGTATGGTTCCACTGGAAGAACAAAGTTAAGGGTCAGCTGATTTAGCCAAACTCTATCTCTTCATTCATTGCTCAGCAAATGTTTCAATAGCTGTCATATGCCACACCCAGCTCTAGGCTCTGAAAATCAAACAATGAAAAAGACACCAAGTTGAACCTTTGTGGAGCTCACATGGAGGTGTAGGAGGTAATCTCACAAAAAGTATCTCTGAAAAGATCCTAGGGACCTGACAACTGAGATCACACGCAAAATGGCAAGTATCACCTCCTGACATAGTGAAGTTTGTTTCTCAGGAGATTTAAAGCAAAATATGAGGGAATCCATGACGTCCATCGAGAATCACACAGCTCAAGGGATAGGGCAGAGGGTGCCTTACACAGATGCAAAGAAAAGTTGTTCCAAACAGCTAAGGTAGAAAATGAGGAAAGCCAAATGCAACACATGAGAGCAGTCCTCAACAGAACAACCTCAAAAAAGTTATTCAAATTATTTTTCAAAAAGAAACATGCCAAACATCACATTTTGTATAGCTTTATATGAAATATCCAGAAGACCAGAAGGAAATACAGTGAGACAGAAATCAGATTGGTATTTGCAGGGGCTGGGGTTAGGAGATCAGTGAGTGGCTAATTAATAAGTACGTGGCTTTGGGGAAAGTGAGAAATAATGTCTGAAACTAGATAGCAATGTAGGTACAATCTCGTTAATGAACTAGATAGCAGCACTGAAATGTATTCTTTAGAATGGGCCATTTCATGTTATGTGAATTTGATTTTCAACAAAGCTGTCATGAAGCATTTTAGATTTCCAGTATGAATCTGCTTCTCCACTCATGGCATCGTGATCTCAGGTAGCTGTTGTCATTCCCTGACCTCTGTTATTCATCCATAGAATGGGCATGACCCCTGCACCCATCACCTGGGGCTATTGAGAGGGGAATTTTCTACATAGAACCTCACAGAGTACAAGGAGTTGACAAATGCAAAGTGACTGTTCTGGGCAAGGACAAACTCACTCAGCATGAGCTGTATCCTGGGAAGCAGAACTTCAGAATGTTCTTGAGCCAAGTTGTCTCTTCTAACACCTTATTTCTTTAAATATACCGAATAAAGGGCATGAGTATTGTTAATACAGTCCTAACTGTGGAACCTCTATTCACATAAGGAAGGAAAAAAACACAGAACATTGGAAGAACTGCAAGAGTATGGAAACAAACCTATAACAAAAACTTTTGCAAAGAGTCAGGTAAGGGGAAGGATGCTGGTTTACAACAGGTTTCTCGGATGCAGGACGTGAAGTCAGGGCACTGAATAACCCTGTGGTCTTTATTTCTCTCTTGAGTCTATTGTGCGAGGCAGGAAGGAAATCTGGTATGTTGGGGGCACTCTGCCAATACCAAGCTCCTTGGGTGTCAAGTCAATATCCTCTGGAGCCACTGGACTCGCTATGGAGAAGTTCTGAAGGATAGTGGTGAAGAAGAGAAACAATTCTGCACGGGCAACACCTTCTCCAAGACAGATACGCTTCCCTGTGGGAACAGAGGATCACAAATATTGGTCAGGATGATATTCTTTGCCCTGTCACATTCCTAATCTTAAACACCTGTGGCCATTGCACAGGCATGACCTTTAATCTGCAGTATTGGGTAGACATGCAGAAGGTTCCCAATCCTTTTGATACTGGGAGCAGATCATTGGATGTATGTTCAGTGTTCAGTAGGAGTTAGGAGATGCAGTCATTTGTAGTTTTGTTTGATTTCCAAAGGTTTCAGCATCCCCATATGAGACTGTGAGGGTGACATTATAGAACAGCAAACTTATAGAAATTTCATAGAAGAAGTTAAAAATCAGTTATTAACCTGTGTCTGTTCTCATGCTGCCTGTCACATAGATAGACTGCTAAGCTCAGCCTTGACTGTCTGCACCCAACTGTTTTTCTCAGATAACTAATCAACCTGACTGCATCCAGCTGAGATGTCTGTGTTTCTGCACTTAGAAAAACATATATAGGCATTCCAACTTGCTTCACGAACTTCATGTCTGGAACAGATTGGCCAGTCAAGGATGCCTTTAATTCTGCTTTCTCTGCTTGAGCCCTCCTCCCTCCCTCCCAGGATGTGCCTGCCATTGATAAACAATTCTGTTTTTAACTATTTTAAAAGGAAAAAGAATAAAAATGATGATACAGAATTTCAAAACAGAATAGTAAAAGATTAGCGCTGGTTAATATATTGCATGTTATTTTTTATCTTCAAAGCGGCTGTTAAGACTACCAGATATAGGCTTTAAAAATGATTAAACAATCAAACAATGAAAGCAGAAACTGTTGCTTTTGATGAACTAACAGGGATTAATGGTATAGTTACCTATTTTCTCCTTTCCTCTATCCCAGTTGCTTTTTTCTTTTGAGCAGTTTCCTTTCTTTTCCCTTGCTCAGTATCTATTACACATTTTGGATCCTATTTACACTTTCAAGTTTTTACACAAAGGAGACAACACAATATCTACACATGTGAGTCTAATTCATTTCACAAATGAGTACAGTGTCTACTTGTATCCATTTACCTATAAAAGATTCAAGTTGTGGCTGGGAATTTAGCTCAGTGGCATAAGTTCCTGCCTGGCAAACTCAAGACCATGAGTTCGAGTCTCAGTACAAAAAAAAAAGGCTCAAGTTTATCCTTCTTTATAGCTGAGTAATAATTCCATTGTATAAAAATACATCTTTTTATCCATTCCATGGTTTAAGTTGTTTCAACATTACTTGGCCAGTTAAGAAATGCAAATTAATGATTAAAATATATAAAAATATGTGGTAATCATGATTCCCCATTATGTGGCCTTGAAGCCTTATAAAGTTTTCACTCATTAATTAGAAAGGCTTTATTCTGGGCTTCTTGATATGGAAATATTTGAAGCTATAGTATATGAAGTTTTATCCAAATATTTCAAGGAAAAAGACAGACACTATGGTAACTACTATTAAGTCAGGTTATATGGTGGTGAAGTACTAGGTTGCTGAAACAGTCAAGCTTTGACCTCTATTGTTATATTGTTATGTCCTGTTTTATCTCAATCTCCCCCTTATTCTTTAAAAAAATTATTTAGTTATTTCTTATGTTTGTCTTAATTAAGGGGAAAAATTTAAAAAATTAGGATATATAATAGTAACTCTTTTTGATTTCCTATTAACTTGTTTTGAAGTCCTGTAATACTCCCACGATCTTGTTTTGACTGATTAGACTCTGTTCCATTCTGTATGATAGTATCAAGTTTGAGGGTATAGGCAACTACTGTGAAGGCAATAAGATTCACGAAGATGCCCATTCTGGTTTGACTATTGTCTCCTTTGGAAGTCCTGTAATGTTTACAATGCCTAAGTTTTATTGATCTTGTTCTCTACTGTTTTGTCTAACTTTATAATATCTAATGAGATAGACAATTCTTTTTAAGAAAACAAGAGACAACCTTGATAACCATTGTTGATAACCTTGTACTCTGTTCTACACCATGTGCTATGTCTATCCTTGGTTTTGACTGACAGCTTTGTTTTGCCATATTTGACTGTATTCTCTCCTCCCCAAAAAAGTAACAAGAACTAAGGAGTAATAAAATCCAAAATGTGTAAATTTTGTTGTAAAAAAGAGAGGGGAAAAAAAGAGCTCTAATGGATATAACAGCAAGTGTGTTTAGGGGTGTTAAATAGCTGACTATATCAATGTTTTTGGATCATTGAACACAGCTGTTTGCAGTCTCCCTGTTTGAATGTCCACCTTGTATTCTTTGATACTGTGATTTGAGCAACTATTTTCAAGATGATAATATGCAATCTATTAACAGGTTATTTCCTACTGTTATTTTTGTTTGTTTGTTTGTTTGTTTTTTGTAGTTCTGTATTACATGTACCCTTACCCCGCTTTGTTTTGTTTTGTGTTTTTCTCTTTTTCCTCTTAAATAAAATTAAAAGAAATGCAAATTAAACAGTTCTGAGATTCCATCTCACTCCAGAAACAATGGCAATCAACAAATAACAAATGCTAGTAGGGCAGCCCTATTCTGCTTTCTCTAAACTAAGGTAGAACTCACAGGAAGCAACCCTCATCCTATGTACACCTCCATGCTGCCATTGTTCCCAACTACCAACAAAACAAGGGAGAAGGCCACAGCAACAGGTCCTTGGAGTGACTGATGAAACTCAAGACTAAAGACTTGTTACTGGGGAATTCCTTCCTCCCAAAAGATAAGAAAATTGGACATTGGTGTTTTCCATGGGTGAAAGCTGTTAAATTTGATTTAAAGCTGCCTACCTATATAGAAAGCTGAAAGCTAACTCAGTATATAAAGAAACTGCAGCTGACTTGAGAATATATATATATATATATATATATATATATATATATATCTCCAGAATATATCCAGCAATCACAGGCTACAAACTGCTCAGACATGTCCAAATAAGACAAAACAAGAGAAGGTTTAAGAATACATAGACAACCTTACCATGAAGTTCCAGATCTAAAAATCATCACATTCAAAAGTTGGAGGGAAGATACCTAAAGATAGTCTCTGGTTTTTTAGTTTTACCTGGTTCAGATATGAACTCTATATCTCATCACATTCAAACTGCTAAGTTTAGCAAACATGAGGGACATAATCAAATTTTAACTACTCTACAACAAAGTATTATCACTACTTACTATATTTTAGTCAGATAATATATTTGATTCACAGGTTTTTTTTCAGAACAAAACAATTTAAGCAACATAGTGTTTCACCACAGGATAACCCGACATAACAGTAGTTACCATAGTGTCTCTTTCCTTGAAATATCTAAGTATACCTTCATATACTATTGTATCAAACATAACAAGAGAGTGTAAAAGCATTCAACAGGGTAGAAGTATTACAGGGTATATAGAACCAACTAACACAAAATGAACAATGGTTTCTATATTATCTCCTTGTCTATAAAAATTTTGTTTATACTATCATATATAATAATATCCAATAAGTCGCAAAATGATAAAACCAATGAAGACAGAAGGACAAAAGCTTGATAGGACTTCAAACCAAGGTGATACTAAATCAACACTAGCTCTTACAAGGTCTTGTTTTCTTCAAAATAACTGTTCATACCATCACAGACAATAAAATGAAACAACCCAGAATAAAACCATTACAATTAATGAATGAAAACATTATAAGGCTTCAAAGCAATGTAATGGAGAATCATAATTACCACATACTTTTATGTATTCTTATCATTTCTTACACTAGGGTAACTATTCAGTATTTGTACATGTGAGTTTGATTTATTTCACTTATGAGTATTGTCTCAAGCTGTGCCCATTTGTTTCTAAATATCTCAATGTGATCATTCTTTATAGCTGAGTAGTACTCCATTGTATAAAGATACCACAATTTTTATATCCATTCCTTGCTGATGGACACTTAGGCTGTTTCCAAGATCTGGCTATCACAAGTTGTGCTGCTTTAAACATGGATGCACATAAATCACTGCGGTATGATGCTTTCGGTTCCTTTGGCAATACGCCTAGAAGTGGAATAGCTGGAACAAATGGGACTTCCAATCTCAGATTTCTGAGAAATCACCAGACTGACCTGCACAATGGTTGCATCAGTCTACACTCCCACCAGCAGTGCAGGAGAGTTCCTTTTTCCCCACAGCCTCTCCAGCATTGATCCTGGCCATTCTTTCAGAAGCGAGATGGAATCTCAGTGTGATTTTAATTTGCATTTCTCTAATGAGTAATGATGATGAACATTTTTTCATGTATTTATCTGTTATTTGTATTTCTTCATCTGAGAAGTGTGTATTCATCTCAGATGCCCATTTTTGGACTGGATCTTTGAATTTTAGGCATCTGATTTTTTTTTAATTCTCTATATGTTTTAGACAGAAGTCCTGTGTCTGAGGAACAGTTCACTAAGATTTTTTTCCCAGATTGTGGGTTTTCTTTTTACTATGCTGAAGATTTCTTTTGATGTGCAGAAACTTTTTAATAAGAAGTGATCCCAATTACTGATTCTGGGAAGTATTTCCCATGCAGTTTGATTCCTGTTCATGAATTCTCTACCTACCCCTATGTCTTCAAGATGTTTAGCCAATTGCCTTCCAACAGATTTAATATTTTTGTTTTAATATTCAGATCTTTTATCCATTTAGATTTTAATTTAGTACATGGTAATAGGCATGGGTCTAGTTTTAGTTTTTGGCAAATGGAGACCCAGTTTTTCCAACACCAGTTTTTAAACAGACTGTCATTCTTCCAGTGAACATGTTTGGCCCCTTTATCAAAGATACGGTGGTGGACAGTGTTTGTAGTTGTGGTTCTGTCTTCTAGTCTATTCCATTGGTCTTTTTTAAAAATTTTATTTAAGGACAAAAAAAAATCAGAGAAAGGGTACAAGTTATACAGATTTACAGAAAAAAATAAACAGTAGGAAATCACTAGTTAATGGATTACATATTGTCATCTTAGAAATAATTGTTCAAGTCACAAAATTA